CCGGACCCCTGGACCCCCCCAGTTACGGCCTTGGAACAGACGTAGGTTTTTTTGTGCAGTGATTTTGTGCAATGCTCAAAACAAAAATCGGGTGATTATTTAAAATGTTAGTCGATTCGAAATACAAAATGTCATTATTAGGTTTATCTATCTTGTTTACATGTAGTTTTGTAAATTAATGGGTACGTTTTTGGCATATTTATGAAAAAATTAATAAAAATTAATAAATACATTTAACGATATGGATGAAAAAATAGGAAACAAGGCGGATTTAACAGTTAATATATAAATAATTTATATTTCATAGGTGAGCATTTCTTTCATCGCCCGTGGCAAAATGACGGCCAAACCACGAGATCTCGAATCTGACGGTGAAAAAAATTATTTCAAGTTATTCAGATAAATCTATATCAAAACAGTATGTTTGAAGGATATTGAAACGTAATATTTCAGTTTTCGAGGTTTTCGATTCACCAACCTTCTGCGATTCAACTGTAAAAATCGTCGACTGTATAGTGACGTCTCGAGTGTAAAACTAAGTTGCACGCGCTTTCGTTAAAAAAAAAAAAAAAATTATATTATGCTTGCTGTCACGTGAGACACTGAGAGGTATACGATTATACATTATAGTTCTTTTAATTTAAAGGAAATATTAATTCCACAAACATGTGATTGACCACTACACAATATACCACATTGGATTGAAGGATGTAGGTATGCAGTGGCGTACATACGGGGGGAGGGGAGGTTCTGGATTCAAACCCCTCCCAGGGCCAAGAAAAAAAAAAGAAAATTGTTTTACTATTGATGACGTGTAATATATTCGTAGTTTCATTATTACTCTTTGAACTTAAAATATACAACTATACAAATATGATAATAATTATATTGATAGGTGTTTGAAAAGTTTTGTTAACTATGCTGTTTTTATATTCCAATAGCTATTAATTTACTGCAATGTAAAAATAAACTGTAAATTGGTAAAAAAGTTGTATAAAATAATATCTGTTTATAGCAGTTATTTATCTTATTTATCTGTGCAACAAAAAAAGAAAAAGATAGGTAACGATTATTTTTGTTAAGCCCTCCCAGAGCAAGATCGAATGTATGCCACTGTAGGTATGGATGTAATTCTATTCAGCTGCATGCGTGTACTCTGGAGAATATTCTGTGCTCTGCCACTTGTACACTATCTGAAAACCAAATGTTATAATAACAATGCGTTGGAATTGAACGACACACGAGCAGAAAAACGGTCGACGAAACGTAATTATTTAAATATTCTCGTTTGTTCGACAGCTGCGTCGAGTAAACCATCAGTGGTGAACTGAACAATTAGGGACCCGAAAAAAGCTTTCGGTATTTATTTTACAACAGTTCCGATGCTGATTTCTGAATTGACGACGCGGTTTAGTCGTTAAAAACGTTATGGAAAAAAAAAACCAACAATAGCCAAACAGTTATGCAACTTGATGTAACGCCTGCGTTATTTTTCTGGTTATTAGCGAAATAATAATATAAACGTGCAATACGTTAGAGTGAATTAACGCGTGACTGTTAGTACAGGGCCATATTTTTTAAAAAACTGTTTGATCAGCAAAATTCAAATGTGAATAATATCACACAGCATGCGTTCGCATATATTATTTACATCCGATTCCGTCTTTCGTATCATTTTAGTAAATCCGTATCTGAAGTTTTTCACTATAAACATCGATGGGGGCTAATATGAGTTGATTATTAATACACCTTTTTTTTTTTTTGTGCACATAAATCATCTATAGATCCCGCCACATGTAATACTTGAAACAGCGGATAATTTACACACCTAATTGGACATAATACAGTTCAACAGGTCTTACCGTTGGCTACTACCAACGTGGCATAGCGACAATACCGAAATAAACCCGAATTTTACGCATGTATAGATATAAATAATATATAATAAATGTTTTCGTTTTGTTGGTAAATCATTTTAAAATTGTTTTATTGTTTATTTCGAACTTCATCGGAAAATAATACTATTTCGCTGTCGTAAAATAAATCGTAGACATTTAGTTCTTAGTCAGCAATTCATATCCAGAAGTAAGGCTTATAGACACGGAAAATCGTTTAAGCATATTACAATTAGTTTAAATAAACGCGTATTTGTATTCTGATTTATTCGTAGTAATTGAGTTTTAAAAAGATTGTTTAAAGTTGCACGTTATAACGTAAGGTCGCGTTCACACATTGCCAAATGGTACCAATCGACACGTTCAACTTTCAACTTGTTCTATTTAATCTTAATGTGTGTGAACTAGTCGACCGACACGAGTGTACCGATACCATATCGAATTTATCGGGTTATTGATACATAACATTAATGGTTCAGAATATACTGCCATAGCTGCTGCAGTTATAATAAGAATTAAAAGCCAACAGGTCTGATCACGACTCATTCCACTAAAAGGAATTATTTTTCATCGTTCTAATTCATCATACCATAACCACTCGTTGACTAATATTCATAAAACTAAAAACTATACGAAAAGCACTCAGCAAAACGAAACTTAACAGAATGAATTAATATTTCATATTTTCATCAATTTTTGTAGTAAATAAAGTGATATGATAACATTAACTTTAGCCTAAAAGTCGAGCAACATACTTTGTCATGTCCACACTTACAACTGTCGATTCCTTGCTCTATGATCTACACCGACTTGATACGGGTTGCGTTCGACTCGGCCTGACATGTTTCAACAATGCCAGTACGTCGCTATCGATCTACCGATTCCAAAATTCAGCGCTGTCCCCGGGATACCGTCCCAGTGCCGGAAAAGAAATCAAAAAACGTCGGCCCGTCTCCACTGCGGTACCGGAGATGCCGCAAGCGCGGAGAGTCGCTTCAGATCCGCGCACATTTTCGGCAATCGCGAGGCAGGAATAGGAGTGTATTTAGACTTACTTATAGGGGGGAGGGGTTCAAATTTTTTTATTTAATTCAGGCTCAAAATGTACAAGTAAAATTATTGGTAATATTTAAATTAGGTGAATCCTTAATATCTGTGTTTTTTTATTTTTAATCTAATACCCAATCATGTAGTTATTTTTTTAATACCTGTCTGTATTTTGCAAGTTATGTTTGTGTTTTATTTGATTTTTCGCTAAGTATAAACCGGAAAAAAAGCCCAATTCAGTATTCACAGCCACACGTAATTTGATTTCGTTAAAAAATGATTAACATTAAAAAAATGTGTAGTGTGTATCTCACATGTAATCGATTCCTTAAATACGAATTCATGGAGAGGATCACCCCATCGATCCCTCCTAAAATATGCCCTTAGGCAGGAACTTATGGTTCCGTGCGCCGCCCGACCAATTGTTTCCCGTCTGAACATCCGTTGGCTAGGAGGGACGGAACTCTCCGGAAGGAACGCGCTATCGGCTCCGGCCACGACATGACAATTATTACATCGACGTAATCGATGTTGTTGTTGTCTTTCGACGAACGATAGATAACAATAATTTTATACAATAACAGACGACCATACGATAATACGAGGGTGTGAAGGTGTCGTGTTATGGATATAAATATTGTAAAACGAAACGGTTTTCATATCCAGAAGGATATTGTCCCGATTAAAAGATTCTCGTTACGACCTGTAAAAGTTAATTTCATAAAACCTTATCCGGAATGCTTACAGTAAGATATGTAATATGTAACGAATAATGCATTCAACTATTAAATTATAATTTTTATATTATTTTTACAAAAACAACGTTGAAACGGTATTCTAAAAAAATAACAAAACGTGATGTTCACAGATTTTTGTCCTCGTTTAACGTTGTGTGATTGTTGAATAGACCAACATTTATTTTTACTTTGAACTATCCATGAGTAAATAATATATTTTCAATTAGAAAATGTAAATCTTCGTCGATATGCATGTATGCATTTTAATTATAAATTATACTTTATAATAAAATAATAAAAACATAAATTGAAATTAAAAATTACTAAATGATTGACTCTAGCAAATTAATATATAAATAAATTAACAAATAGTTCATATATAGAAATAAATAATATGTTAAATTATTTATATTTTTATGTAATACATTTTCTTATAGCCAAACAGTAAACATGTAAAACATGATTTCCACTTCCCCCTGCATACAAATATATCAGCTAAATGTTTCGTACATCTACCAGTACTACGAGTATATAGATATTTAATAAAACACATTTCGAAAATATCATAAACATTTACTCCGGTAAGAACATTGGTTCGGATCAAACATTTTACCTGTTGTCGGTATAACGGATTTAATGAAAAGGATCAAAGAAATGGGACCAATATGCGTGAGCA